TTTTTTTTCACTTTGTCATATTAATGCTGACAATGTTACAGTGGACGGCGTGTTTAAGGAGTGGTCGGTTTGGGGGACTTGTGATGTTACTTGTGGGGGCGGATCTCAGCAGCGTAGTCGTACATGTGATGGTCCCCTTCATGGGGGTAAGAATTGCTCTGGGGCATGGTCAGAAACCCAGGATTGTAATACACAAAACTGTCCAGGTAGGTAAATTCATTTTCAATGATTTTTAAATGGACAAAAATTGCGCCCTTTCTACATAAGTTCCTTGTTGATGGAAATAATTTTAGAATTAAAACTACTTTTAGACAAATGACGAATGACTTACTAAGTCGCATAGACAAGTAGTATTGGATATGGATTCACTCGTATTTACAATTCATTGCGAATAAACAGTACCTGGTGACGACAAATTCTTTCTTCAGACATAGCTACGGGTTGGAGTTCATGGTTTCCTTGGTACGCATGTAGTGTTCCTTGTGGCGGAGGAATGCGACTGCGTAGTAGGGTCTGTCTTGGTGGTGTTTGCGTTGGTGGTCAATATTCAATTCAAGGTTGCAATACCCATCCCTGTCAGTCCGCAAGCTCTTATATAAAGCGTCTGATTGGTCGTCCAGGTATCACATGATACTGGTGAAGGAAATTTGTTGTGATAAATTTCTCGGTGATGGTCTCCTGAGTATGCTTTGTTAATTTGGATATCATTAAAAACTCTCAGTAGTGCACTCACATTTATTCTTCTTAAAAATGGGATTGAAAGATTAAAACAAATTCAAATCAAATACTAATGCACTCTCTAGTTTAGATATGAATAGTTGGTGACATTATTGTTTGATTTGGAATGGTGGCGGATGTTAACAGATGAAATTGATGAAAAGTTCAACAAATCAACAAATTCGGTGGTTTTAAAGCAAGACCATTTCACCCTTTCTTACAAATAAATGTAAAATATTACAGACATTGTGTAGCACATGTATGTTTGTTGCTGATGTGACCACGTATGCAACTCAGTTTGCAATATTCTCGTATACAAAAATTGCTCAGTAGAACTTCATATTTATTTTTTTAATCCTGATATAGTTTAAATTGTGGTTACTTATTTGATTTATCACAGAGGACGGCGTGTGGATGACTTGGTCCGTATGGGGAGATTGTTCGGTGACCTGCGGTGGGGGTTTACAATATAGAAACAGGACTTGTGATGGACCACGATACGGAGGCGCGGACTGCGAAGGGGCGGATCAGGAACAACAAGAATGTGGATTAAATCCTTGTCCGAGTATGACTAAGATTATGTTATTTATAATACCAATTTGTAACAAATAATGAAAAGAATAATTGTAGTAAAATTTTACAAGTAAATGATTTTAAAAAAAAAGATATTCATAATATCACTTTTATTTTTTTTTTTCATATAGGTCATTTGAAAATTTGCATAGGCTTGAGTGTTATCTGTTTAACGTTGTGCGCTTTCACCGCAAACCTACCACCCCTTTCTCTGCATTTTTCCCATTTATTCTTGTATTTATCATTATACATTGCTGTACTTTTGTATAACATCATTTTCGATTGCAAACCAAATTAAACATTGGGTGGAAAAGAATTTTTTTATGAATGCTTTTCTCAGTTCCTGGAGACTGGATGACATGGTCGGGTTGGTCGAGATGCAGCGCCACCTGTGGAACAGGAATAAGATGGCGAACTCGAGAATGCAATACGACTTCATATGGTGATCTCACTGCACCATGCGAAGGAACAAGCAATGGCACTGAGGACTGCAATACCTTCCCGTGCAGGCCTTTTGGTAAACTAAACACTATATCTTTTCTTTGGTTTCTTTGTCATCATCAATATATATGTATTTTCGATGGTGGTTATCGGAGTGAAACAACTGCGATAGTGAGAGACTTTTAAATCTTTTTTTTTCTCATCTGAATTTACGTAAAATTTACGTCAAATATTTATAAATTGCATCTTAGGAAAGCTGGCTAGAAATCCTCAAAATTGTTCGAACTTTTTCTCTAGTATGCGATACGAACCAGTGACTTCTGTTTGTTACTTGCAGCTTCCACGTGCAGTGAGCTACGCGAATGGGGAATGATAGAAAGTGGCATGGTTCAACTAAAACCCGAACGAAAAGACAAATGGTCTGGGAAACCTGAACTACAACCAGTATGGCTGCATTGTGATATGGAAGCAGAAGGTGGAGTGGGTTTGACTGTGATAGGTAAGATATGGAAATGATATGGTGCTCAAAATGTGTTGATTCTTGTAAATGACAAAGAAAGTTCCCTGATTCGTCAAGGCAATGAATTGTGGGAATAGCATATGCTAGTATGTGTAATCATAATTTCTTTTAGGTCATAACCGAGAATCACGTACCAGAGTATTTGGATTCGAAGGTGCAGGAGAGTACATAGCAAAATTGAACTATAGTGTTTCCATTGACCACGTGATTGCAATTATTGATGCTTCAAAATACTGCAAACAATATCTAAGATGGGAATGCAAGGGCTCTGTTATACACAATCCTCATCAAATGGATTCTTGGACAACATTTTGGACAAATCGTAGTAGCGAGTTCAGTAACTACGAAATACCGTCTTCTTACTTTGCTGGAGCCAAGCCAGGTAGTGGAAATTGCGCATGTGGTGACACTGGCACATGCGCAAATGCATCTCTGCCCTGTAATTGTGACAGTAACGACTTCAAATGGCGATCAGACGAGGGATACATAACGTACAAGGATGACTTACCTATACTGGCTTTCCGCGCAGGAGATACCGGTGAGTTTTAACTCTCTAAATATTCCATACGTATATTTCTATGTCTAAGGTATCCAATTTAATGTAAATTCTTTAACACTTTTTTTCTACTCATTGACACTATTAAGGTAGCATTCACTTAGATTTTTTCTCTTTTTTCTAAAATGGGGTTTACAAGTGCACATTGTTCCATGAATCTTGTTTAACATATCATTGTAAAGACATGTACTAGTATTAATCATCCTTATCCATACTAGTATATCCTTTAATTAAATCAAAATATTTGCATGATGTTCTTAAGAAGTCATAATTTAGATTTTCATTTTGACATAATATGTTTATATTAAAAGGACATACAGATAAAATGTTCACATGCATTATAGCTCTCAAAAATATTCACATAAAAAATATATTACATTTTTTAAGCCAGCAATGTCCCACACATTGAAAAAAGAAGTGCATATTGTTGCTTTGTGTAGATTAAGCAATATTTGTTTTTGTCATGTTTAAAACACTGCAACCGGGCTTTCAAATATTTGCATGCGAGCCAGAAATATTTCGAATGTTGAACATATAATAGTGTGGTACTAAAACTATTTCGTAAAATTATATGCTTAATAAATGAAAGAATAATGTAATTTCTTTATGCAAACACAATTAATATAAGGAAAACAATTAACATTTATTTTCCATTGCAATAAATTATTCATATTTTGTTTCCAGCAAAGAGGTAAAATTCGCCTTAGTATCTACATAACAAATCGTAAAATTTATGACAAGAAATTGCAGTAGAAAATTTAACTCAGACTAGGAGTAGGGCTCTTTATTAAATCCGATGACCTTATTTCTAAAGGTAGCGCATCTGAGGATGGATACGTCACTATTGGACCAGTGTTGGCGTATGGAACCTTGGAATAACGTTTGCTTGCTAAAGAAATGGTCGAATCGACAACCGGAAACTGGAACTACGCCTTTATCTGGATATCACCGCACATGCCCCATTCATTACTCACGATTTACAACAGTCGCCTGTCTTAGGGCAAACAATGTGTAATGATTGGGGCATGGTGCATGATATTCAAAGAAAGAGGACAATTTTCTTTCGTTTTTTGTGCTTGTTTTTTATTTGTGTTTATATTGTCTTTGTAGGGAATGAACCTATGGAGCAGGGAGCGCATACAATAGGGCGTGTTCGTTGTCAGGGCGTGGCGTAGGGAATAGCGGCTGTAACAGCTTTTTGCGCGCATTTCCTTCTGTCTTTTAACTTTTCATTTATCATCAATACACACTCATAAGAAATGGTATCTATTTATTGAATTTCAATTTTTGACGACGATTATCTGTTTGCTAATACAGGTCATCAAGAGACAGAGCAGGGCTATCACACAATCGGCGCACTTCAATGTTTTGGGGTGTGAATGTAAGGTGTTTCGTCTTGTACGCCTTTGGCTTTCAGATAGACAAAGTAGCGATGCTTCTGCTTATGTCTCATGTTTTTATGTTCGTCAGTGACGTCTTTTATATTGTGTATCAATTTGACCAATCACTGAGTCCGTTATACTACATGCACCAACAAAATTAACAGAAGCGCAGATAATTGGTCTCCATTTTTGTAAATCTACCCTAGGGGACAGTTCGACTGCGCTTAAAAATAGAATAGTAAACATTTGTAAATAAGGTAGAATTAATGAAACTTGACGTTTATTACAAACATGTTACAACTTATGAATCATGGAAAATTTAAACAAAATTCAGTGATGACGTCAAGATCATTACAGAACGGACTAAGAATAGCTTGTAATGTATATAACTTCTTTGTCATCATAGTTTTGTTAACTGTTGTTATATTTTGTTGCCAATAAATGTTGCAAAGCAGTATCTCTAGATTTGATTTATTTATGATCAGACAAGGGCGTAACCATATGGCGTCTGTGAGAAAGAATATACACATGTACCAGTACCCCCCTCCCCTTCACACACACACACACACACAAGAGAGAGAGAGAGAATGTGGGATCTGTTTCGATGTAGTGGAACAATTATGCAATTAATGCTAAAAGTGAGAATTCCTCAGCAATCCAGCAATACTAAGTTATGTTTCAAAAGCATGTTTTCTCTCGGAATAGTTCTTGAATGCAAATTCTTAAAAATCGATAATTTGGAGATAAAATAACAAATCAAAGGTAAGTACAAAAGAAACTAACAGCTGTTTTTATAGTTTTATATCAGTAATAAATATATAAAATTTTTTAGTTAGCATTTCGTGTTGATGATTCTCTGAGTTCCGCTTTCTGTCCCTACGGTGCTACAGAAGGCAACTCTAAAACAAAAGTTTGTTTTAGATTAAATATTTATACTTGAAAAGCTGAATTAACACACAAATGTTCTAACAGTAGCGGGGTGTTTCTTTTTTTTAATCCTATGGAAGATACCTTACGATATTTCCGAGAAAAAAAAGCACATTCTTGCTCAAATTCACAAATCAAAATTATTTTGATGATTTTAAGCAAATTAGATAATTCTTTCGCCTAAATTGAGTAGGTACTTAAAATATGAAAGCATAATATATGAAATAAAAATGACAACTGTAAAATTATTTAAGCACTCACTTTTGATGAGTGCCACCTGAAACCACCTCTACTCTTTCGAAATAAAGCTTTGGATGGCGAAGGTTGAATAGATTCCACTGGAACGGGTTCACGCTCAACCCGTGGTGAGCCCATTGAAGCGAGACGTCTTTGATGTCACCAATGCTATGAGGTATTGCGATGACGTAAGAATAACTCTTGCCAGGTTGGAAATAAACATAACTGTAGGTTAAAAAAATATATAAATGGGTATGAATAATAGTTGGGTGCTATGAGGGAAAAAGTGAGTTCTAATTCCTGAACAGACATATCTGCTATGTTCCAGCTGGGGCATAACGCATTAAAGAAAGAGTCTCTATAAAGGTGAAGTGTCGTATAGACATTGAAAATATACATGTAGATTATACATACTCTTCGGTTACAGTTCTTTGACCAAGTTGTCCGTTTGTGCCATGGATATTGGCCTTAAGTTCCCCACGCCATTCATGGGATCCAGAAGGATGACCCAAGGTAACACGGATTACGTAGTGGTACTCTGTACACAGATTATACAGCAAACTGAAGTATATTTGTTTCGTTGGTCGAATCGTTCAATATTACAATTTATATCAATATTCAATGAACACGACGAATTTAATAATTCCTTAAAGTGAATTGAGACACAATTTTGGGGGGCAATAGGCAATAAAACAAATATGAAACGGATGAGAAAGACTCTGTGGTGTCTTTTATTTTGAGTTGACTGGTATATATCGAGTTGAATGGAGTAACTATTGTTAATTGATAAAACGTTGTCGATATATCAAGGCCACTGCAATTGTTTTCTCATGTAGAAGTTTTTGGACAAAAATTCTGCTTCGTAGGAATATAGAAACAGGTTGGCTTATAAAGGAGCACAATAAGTGCCTATCAGAATTGCAACAGATGGTTGGAAGCCCTAGTCTCCAAAGACTACATATACGTTGTCATTGAGGAACTCCAGCATACTTTTATACCAACCTCAGAGAACTTATGTGTAGAATCAGACTGATTTTTTACTATGGTAAGTTGTAGATGTACAATCACATATGAACATTTCCAAATTCCATTTTTATTGAAGAAGCGATTGTCTATGATTCAAAAAGCCTAGTTTTTAATTTATTATGAAGAAAGGTTGTTTAGAGTGTCGAAATGTCATATGTTTTGATATTACTGACTTTTGAGAAATTCCGTGATATTAATTTTCTAAAAAGTTCTTTGGAGTTTGTTTAGAATCCACATTTGATTTACACACTTCTAGAATATATGCTGCAGCACAGTATATCTGAAGTTCCTCCTTTACAACAGTTAACATTTTTGTGAGGAGTAGATATGGGGGCTTTGGAGAGCAATTGCTGGACCCGGCAATGTATCTTTGTTAAATATTTTTTATGACTTTTAGGAATCCAGTATAGGTAGGGCAGAACAAAATCACTTTTGTTGACTGGAATGTTAAAAGTTTAATAAACTGATATGTGATTTTGAAGAATTTCATTCTTAGAAAGTGAACTATGAGTATTAGTTGGATTTCCAGTTGTAGTACTGAAACCAACTTCTTCAAAATTACAGTTGTAATAATGAACCTTACAAAGACGACATTGTTACAAGTGTTGTTTGCTGGAACCATAACAAATTGTTCACGTAGTCTTTCTAATTCTTTTACCACTTCCGATTCAGAGTAAACGGAAGAATATATGGTTCACATATTATCTTTTAATTTTCTGACACGTTTCTTTAATATATTTCTTAAAGACTTAATCCAGTCTGACAAAGTGTCCAGGTCTTCCCCTTTATATTTGCCCATTATCTGCCATAATCCTCGACAGAATTCATAATAAAAACGAAGTTTTGTCTCCAATTGAAAGAGCAGAACTCCCTTGTATTTATAACCTTTTAAAATGGTCTTTTTCAACTGTAACAGTTTTTGGAACATTTATGTAAGCATTCAAAGAAATAGAGTTTGGTGCAGAACATATTTTGATGAGAAATATTTGGAAAAAAAACGTACACTTAGAAACTCTTTTACAAATGCAATCTTGTTATTCGCTGTCCAGCCTAGTGGTAGGGCGTTTGCTTCGTGATCGGGAGGTTCGATTCTCTTTCCCCGCGCCGCGTTAGTAACTCTTCCTTCGCCAAAATTGCATCATTTTTTTTAAATTAAGAGATGTGTTAATGCCTATTGAAAACAACATATTTTTATTCAAATTAAACCCAACTCATTAGAACATTGAACAGCCTTAGGTTTGATTAATTGATTGTTGCCGTTTAACGTCCTTTGAAGGATTATTTCACTCATATGAGACGTCACTGGATGCCGGTGAAGTGCTTAAAATTTAGACTTTTACTAGACACCCGAGAGCTTGGCGAAGAAACAGTTGCTACCTGTTTTTTTTTTTATCGACCTGGGGTTGTCGCAACTGGGGCGCGAACTCACGACCTTCCGATCAAGGAGCGAGCGCTCTACTGACTGGTTTGCCACAAGTTTGTTTCCAATGTGTTTTTATAGTAAAATTATACTTTCAAATTATAAGTATATAACTCCACTGCTTCCTGGTGCATCTGAAAAAGTTTGAAAATACTTACCACAATATGGATCACGTGTTGTTGTTTTTAAGAAGTACTTTTTACCGACTGCGCTTTTCACTGATTTTAACTCGCCAGCGTGGTATCCCATCTTTCCACAATTACCAGCAACGGAACAATCCAAGTGACACGTTCCATCCTGTTCATAGATGAGTGTGGAATCAACAATGTTCGTTGGGACCAATGTTCGTGGATTTTATGGGTCGCCCTTACCAGTGAATTTACATTCGAAACGAACAAAGATTATCGAGGTACTTACGGTATTCATTGAATTTTTTGCATATATACGAGTTACCCATATTACAAAATAAAGTCCCCGTGAAGCAGTAAAATTTTGGTTGCCCATGAACATTGACACCTCCGCCGATTTAAACTAATTCTACAGTACTTGTTTACATGTACCAAAACGAAATCATAAAATCGGATCAACATTTACATTTCCATTACAAAGACTGATAATGATACGAAGTCGTACCTTAAAATGATCATAAGAATCACAACTATAAGCTTCAAATGGACAGACACTGTTGATGGATTCTGTGAAATACTCGTAAGCTCTGAGGTGGTTGCAAGCGATAAACTGTTTGGTACCTGAATCCAAGGTTCTTTGGTTAGAATGATTTAAACTGTCTAGGAGATCATCAATGAGAATTTGTATCTGAATGTTGTGAATTTCTGCTGTTTTAATTTATTTTTTCAGTGATTAAACAACCTTGCCTTCTAGTGCATCCGATGTACACCATAGAATTGAGGTCTGTAATACCGTATGCGTATTTCTTGATTTCAAAATCAATATTGCTTTCTTAAGAGAATTGAAAAAATGGGGTTTACCATCGTAGATTCCTCCCTGTATTTGTATGTGTGTCAAAGGATCAGTATTACATCCGGGTTGGTCTTTACCTCCATTTGGGTAAAAGTCCACGTGACCTACAGGTTCCATCATTCCGAATCCTGCTCAAAAAATACAAAAATAAAGAATAGCTGCGATTCAGTTAACTTAAAATTTAGTATTTGTGTGCACTTACCAATGTTTGGAACCAAACTCTCGGCGTCTGTATGGAGAGCGTCAACAAAAATGGCGTCAGTGGGATCCAAGCGAACGACCTTGTCAGTGTTCTCGAAGTAGGGACCCGCAGGATCAAGACCTGGAAAAGACGTAAAAAGTTGTAATCCCAAAAGTCATTATTCTCCAAAAAAATATTTCCCATAAGATTTCGATGTTAATCACATAGACAATGAACCTGTAATTCTCCCGAGGTTTGGTGTCCTCTCTCCGGCGTAACCTGCAATGTGAGCTCCCAAGCTGTGTCCAATAATATGAATCTTTGTTGGATCCGCATTGGAAATTTTCTGAGTAAAATGTTTATATTATCATTATTGTATTTCTATCTGAAGTATAATGGCCTTCACAAATCAAAATAATATTGCAACAAAAAAGGGAAAAAAACCTATTACCTTTAAGACGGAGATTAGCTTGGCTATTTCTGCCCCGACAACTTGCGTATTTGCTGTGGCCTGTGTGTAAGGGAAAGCAGATCCACCGCCCCAGTCAACCAAAATAACGTTTAAATCTTCCGACTTCAAAAACTCGTCTTTCATATTCTGTGAATAGTTTCGGAGTTTGGACTTTAGTTCAGTGTACTAAGTCTTTTCAAAAAATCAATATAATATTTTTTTTACTTTTATTGTTACCATACCCTCATCCAGGCTACGAAACCATTTTCCAGAAAACCGTGAGATATAATTTTAGTGTCCTTGCTCCGATCAAAGTGGGAATTAGTAATGCTGCTGTAGTGGTTGGCGATGAGCTGAGAGTAATGGGCCTTGTTAGATCTTGTGTATAGAAAGAATCTCGTGTTGATCTTCTGTGGAGTTTGAGGAAGAAAATTTATAGGCCTGTGGATACTCCAGAAAGGACTTCCGGTACTGTAGCACCCAAGATCGTCATAGCAAACACTAAAACCTATACAATCCTTTTTTTATGAATTACCATGGTGATTTTCGAAAAAATGAAATTTGTACATAATGCATAATCAACCCCTCTTTTCTTAAAAATTATTAATTAAACTTTATGTTAATGAACAACGATCAAATGCCTTTCTCTTGCCACATCATACAGTTCAGTTTCTGAGGCCAGGAAACAAAATGAATCAAATGTACTCACGTTTATGGACGGTATGAAGGGTTTCAGCTTGGTCCTTGCTAAGCACCCTAGCATCAACCCGCCAAAGTGTCCCCAAAAGACCTAAAGCAACTACCCACAACATTGTAACAGGCGTCCTGCTTTGGACTACGAATTTCTTATCTAGCCAGTTGACCTTATCTGCGTACGATTTCTTGATATGCACATGATCCTGTCTCGTATCGAGGGATAAATTTTATTTAATTCCTTGAACTTATTTTTCTGATTTGGAAGAAAAATACAAAATTTTAATATACAGGAAAAAAGATTAAGTTTTAAAAATGTTATTAGTCTCATTACATGTATATGTTAGATCATATGTACCATTTTGATAGGAGTGGTGTAAATTTATAATAAACAGAAATTTCTGAAATACTTTATTTCTTTTAGTCAGTATAATATTATTTAAAATTCAAAAATGGAACTCTAATTCTACTGAACAAAATGTTCTGAAAATACAGCAGCGCAATTGCGACAAACATGTACGTTAACATTTTGTATACATATCGATTATTAAATGTACTATATAAAATATTTCCAACAACAATAGACAAATGGCAGTCATCTGATTTCAATTATTTGAAATATTCAAGGCAGACTTCTTCAGCTATTGTCAAAAACTAATAAAGAAAGTCATTCTAAACTCTTTGACAAGCCTTCACTCAACACATGTTATCTGATCCATTTCCTTGTCTCACAATGTCCTCCAAGAAATCAAGATAATAGATACTGTGTTATATTACATATCATAGTCTCTCAATAATTGGTATTTTTCTGGTGGTTGACCTATTAGAGGTGAACGTCAGGACAAAGTGAGGTAATGGCCGTCATATCCTCTGAGTGACCAGTACTTCACACAATACTAAGGACCGGGGACTTTGGCCATCTGATTCTCTTCGAATTATCACATATCTAAAGAGATGGGGAAAATTGTATTGGGACAAAATAGTATGCAGCAACAAGACATTTCCATGTGGATTGAAATGAATCCTACGGAAAAAATGCATGTCATTACGAATCAAGTTTACTTTTAAACTTGATATTTCTCAATGAAGAAAAAAAAAATGAAATCCTTTCTAAATAAAAATCTTGATATTATAATTCCCCAAACATGATAATGATATTTAATTATTGATAAATGTTTACAAATATTCAATTCTATTATGATTAGGATAAGCGAAATTCAAACCTGCCGTCCGTATTCTGTCCACATGTTGTTACGATAGAAGTGGATACCTTTTCTTTCTGATTAAAACAGGGATCTGTGTTGCTCGTTTTTGAATCAGAAAAATTAGGCTCAGTGTTCTGAATTGTTATACTTATATTTCGAAGACCTGAAAAAGGAAGCGTACTCCAATTTAATTTTAAAAGATTATAGTTAGGTTGGTAGGACATGAAAACAAAAGAAGCGCAAAGCTATCAAGTAATGCAAATAGACCTTCCGAGTCCATCGTCAGAAACCCACGGTTGATTAAGCTTAGTTCCTCTCTCCTTTGTCAGAAACCCATGGTTGATTTCGCTTCGTTCCTCTCTCCATGAGAGAATAAACCAGGGTTTCTGACGATGGTCCGAGAATAAGAATGTTGTTACCATCACAATTCTAGTCCAGCATTCAGTCTAAACCGTATGTCGTGAAGTTATAAATTTTATATTTCAATTCTGTGGGTCATTAGTTACATGTTCGATTTTATTTGCGAAAGGTTAAATATTTCAAGCAAAAACAATCAATATTTGAAGAATTTCGTATTATGATACCTTGATCGTGGCTTCCTTTAATAATGACGGCCTCAATCGGTCTAATGGATTTAAGATCTACCCACCAACATGGCCATATTTCCTCATCTATAATTAATTAAGGAATGTTAGAAATAAGGAATCAATATAAGCTTATTTTACATTCAATTCCAAAGAACATAGAAATATTGAAAGTGTTGAGATGTTCAGAAAAGTCAAGCCATTTTTAATTTATCATTCTGCCGGTCGAAACTGAACATTAACCCTTTATATTTACTGTGATGTCTTTCTATATGTTACTTAACTGTTTAATGTTGGGGTGTTTTAAGGTCAGACGATACGTTCCTCAAATATCTGTTTTGTATATCTTCGTAATGTATGAAAAATATTCAAAATTTTAATTACCTTCTGATTTCTAAACCAGTTTCTAAACGTCTTTAAAAAAATTCAAACACTTAAATATTTGATATTGGTAAAAAAAAATTTTCCAAAAGGATTATATAAAAAAAAAACCTACACTCTGGTATCTGGCACAAATGCCTGGGAAGTTACCTAATTTTTTGTGAGCAAACATGTTAAAGTAGCAATAGTTCAATGAAAAAATTATATATTATTGAGGAACGCTTTGCCTGTCCTTAATCGCCATTTTCTTAGCTTTACCTGTTTGGGAGCACGTTGTACTATCGCCATCCACGGCAAGCTCCGAGTAACCTCTGGTTCCGAGCACGTGGTCGGAACTTTGTTTTGTTGGCTTCTCAAGGGCAAAGTTATTCGTGGCGACGAAGTGATCTGCATTCAGAAAATCATCTTGCTATACATGATAGTACGTGAACGGAAATTGCAATAGTATGAAAATAACATTGGCTGCATAGGCAAATCATTGTGTGCTCAAATTATTATATAATTTATCATTATATAATCCCTCTAATTGGAAGGTTAAATGTTATTCCTTAATTATCATGTGTAAGGATTTTTTTCAATAAATAAATAAGATGTTCAACTTTCTTAATGCAAGGAATTTGTCGAATGGTAAAATGCTTGGATCTCGTACATGTACCTTTAAAATAGAGTCAAAATCGTCATTAGCCTGAGAGTTTGGAAGAAAAAATCCCAAATCAAAGGACAAACGTTTAACACTTTGATAAAATGCTCTTCAATCTGAAGTGCAAAAAAATACTCAGTTTAAAAAGTCTGTATATAAATAAACCATATGATAATGCAGAGTAATTCATAAAGGTCCTAAGTATTCTTGACAATGCTTTTTTTTTTTAGATTTGTTCAAGGGAGCAATTATTAATTCACATTGAGTCTTATAAACCTACTTGATTTAGCAGAAATTATATTTTATGGCCTTTCGCGCTGCTTTTTGTCCGCTTATTCAAATTTATAAACGCTAATATAATACACAACGATATTTTCTTCTACATTTCGCATTTATTGTGTTGTCTATTACAGTGCCGTGTAGCATAGTCTGCAGATATCATCGGCATCACTACGTGACAAAGATACAGGGTAGTAGCGATGGAAAATTTTATCCTTTTTGTCGTCTAAGGATCTGATTATAAAATACTTCTTCATTTGAATGATAATACATTCTTATCATTTATTAATGATTTTCATATCGATGAATGAATTTATTTCGATTCTAAACAAATGCACAAATATATCAGTTGTACGTGTCATTTCTGTTTATCTTGCAACTTGTTTTGTTTTTGTTGGTGTTTTATTTGAAAATATTGTGCTTTCCTTGGACTTTTTCTTCTGCTGATTCGATGCTTTGAATCAATCTTAACTCGTTATTAATACAAACGCATATACAGGCTCGACTCCACATGCGCTAAACTCAGTACCGGTATTAGATTTCGCTAATCAGCTGTTGAGGAAGGTGTGTACGTTTATGAAACATGATATGGTGACACCAACTTAACATTGAACAGGTGATATCACTTATTGAATTGGTGATATCACTAAATGGCAATAACTTAAACAGCGCCTCATATATCACAGACAATAATCTACCTTCGGGACTTGGCAATTATTCGCCAGTAGAAGCGGAAGGTGTTCATTTATAACTTACCAACATTTTCCTCGATGAAGCGCTCACTCCAAGCCATCTGAAATCAATAAACATAAAAAATATACTGTCATCAAATGCCAAGAACTTCAATATTGTGAAAATTATCTTTCTTTTGCCAAAGTAAATGTTTATCATAATATGTCTGTGCAATGTATGCCAACAATGCTATAATGTGTGTTTTTGTTGTTCTGAAATCCTTCACGAAATACAAAATGTGTCGCTTTAAACATTTTTTTATTTGCTGAAGACATTAAAAAATCGTTGATTATAATGGAATTCCACGTCTTCCACTTTACTGATCATTGATGATCGTCAATCAATTTATTAAAGCATTTGATAATCTTACCTCGCCTTCCTTGTTACACTGGTGGACTCTGATGGTTCCAGCCACCATTAATATCAGAGACACGACAAACAGGAGACAACCAAAAACGAGGTACACAATTCGTAATCTTCCTGTAAAACATGGCTTCTTTGGCCTGGTCAGCACAGGAACGTACTTTCTTGTGATTTTTACGGACTCTTTGTCCACAGGCGTCAGTAAGTGATTGTCGTCTGCTGGCAATGGAGAGCCTTCTTGTGAAAGCCCCTCATCTTTGTTAGGCGAAGATGAGGCATGAGGAACGTCACTCATATTTTTCGGCAAAAAACTACTCACATTTGCCACTGCGGATTTCTTACATAATGCAAGTGGTGAAAGGCTGCTGAGGAAATTTCCCAGAAATCAATAGATCACCTAGGCATTGTGCTCTGCGAGATTAATGTTGATCACTGCTCTCCTATCTCAATATTCAATTTGTACCTGCAGAAAGAAAGTATCGAATGTCATAATAACAGATACGTTGACAATATTCATTGGCATCAATCAATCCCCCTGCATTACCACTTTAACAGAAAACAATGCTGGGCTTAAAACTATTTGGTTCATCAAAGACCCAACAACAACATTCAATCAAACCTTTATTGAGAGATATATAAAAGGAAACTCAAAATATCAACATACTCCAATATACTTTTAATTAAAAAGTAAAGATAACGACCAAGTGAGTAATCTCGCAAACCCTATAACAATACCTGCATGGACAGGACAAAAACATGGACCCCCTGACAGAAAGGTATTTGTATGAATTTGTTTTTGTTTTTCTATATTCAGTAAAAGTTGAAACGCATTAAATGTGTGACAGGATATCCCTATACGAGGGTTGTCCGTATAGTCCGTGAACAACTCTATTTTTTTCAGTAGCAAACTCTTCATGAATCACTTTGTATGATACCTGGAACAGACGTATGATAATTTGATATTTTAACTTTTTTAACGTTTACATGAATTACTTCGTATGTAAATTACGTTTTCCCTTACTTATAATGACATTCAGTTAATATATTCATTTTCATAACAACCCCACCGTTTGGTTTAGACGCAAGTTGTATTTTATGTAATTCATTAACTTAGAGTTTTAATTAGTGCATAAATATTCAGTGCAAACTTTTTTTTCAAAGATGTATTAGTTTATTTATCCGAGTCGACAGTAACGGTTCTATTACGAATAGAACTGAGGAACTTTGTTGGAACTTTGCAAGGAAAATTGTGTTAACATTTGAGTTTTTTATAGAACTTAGAGGTTTTGTATTGTACTTGAATAAAAAAAAAACAGAAGTCTCTGGCGAGACTGTAGTTCTACTGGTTTGTACTTATAACAAAGGAAGATAAAAGTAGCACTTGGACTTGAAACTTTGTAACAGCAATAAATAGAATAATGATCCTTGGTTTAGTCTTTTTTGTGGCAAGATTTATTGCAATCAGACGAAAATTGTGGGAGGAGTAGCATGCAATCAGACTAAAACTGTAGGAGGAATAGCCTTTTAAAAGAATTTTACAGAAATTTCGATTTTAGTAACCATGACAACATCATTCAACAAAATCAAAAAACAATAAAAAGAATTATGTATCTTAGTGTAGTCTACTTGTGTGCCAAGTTACACTGAAATCAGACCAAAACTGTAGGAGGAGTAGGGTTTTGAAAGTATTACACAGAAATTTCTATTTTTAGTAAACCATGGCAACACTGTTCATCGAAATTAAAAACCGATAAACAGAATTATGTATCTTAGTTGAACAACTTGTGTGCCAAGTTTTAATGAAATCAGACCAACATTGTAGGAGGAATAGCGTTTTGAAAGTATGTCCCAGAAATATCTATTTTTAGTAACCATGGCAACACCGTCATCGAAATTAAACACCGATAAATAGAATTATGTATCTCACAGTAGTCTAGTTATGTGCCAAATTATATTGAAATCAGACCAAACTTGTAGAAGGAGTAGCGTTTTGGAAAATTAGCGTTTACAGACGGACGGACAGACAGACAGACAGACAAACGGATGACAGACACCTTACTATCACATAAGCTTTTCTGATCTCTGACCAGTAGAGCTAAAAACAACAGTTGAAAACAGAATATTTCCAAATTCTTCTCAAAAACGATTCTATAACTCACGGTCCCTCGTACATAAACGTTTGTGATGTGTAACTGAGAGGAGTCAAAAAATACTAAAAAAATATTTAAAGATATTGTCCCCGCTTTCACTGAAAGTGGGGGATATTTTGGGTCTGTCTGTCCGTCCATCCGTCTGTATTTCTGTCTGTCCGTAACACTTTCGTTTCCGCGTGATATCTCGAGAACCCTTTGAGCTTTCGCAATGAAATTTTGAAGACAAAATTATCAGACACTGATATGGATATATGCGAAACATCCCGAAAAAAATTGGAGTGTCGAGTGAAGTTAAATAAATATATAACTGTCCTACAATACATTGCATTGTAATGCTTGATGTATTGTCTAATTAAAACATGCTCGGTCAATTTTTATTCTTAGGCAAAACAGTGAAAAAAAAGAAAAGCTTTCCTGTTTGACTGATGAGTGAATATTTTGAGCCTCAAACAAAGCGCCGATGATTTTGTAGAATAATCAAAGACGCTTTTCAATACTGCTTAGCAGTACTTGTTTAGTGAGATAAGCTCACACTAAGTCCTTTACACGCGACATTACCCGTAACCGTTATTTACTCTGACTTTAACAAATGGTCATGTGTGAATGTCTCTCTAACGTCTTATATATAGTATACAAGCCTGTTGCTCGTTAGCATTGCTTAAACATTTACATAATATGAAGCCGAAATCAATGATCGCTTTGTCTACGTTGTTCAAAGGGACATAATTTGAGTTATCGAACTTTGAAACAAAACTTACATTATTTTGAAGTTTCCAAAGAAACATTCAATCACAGGGACAAATTGTATATAAAAGCTGTCTTTGGAGGGTGGATGGTGGGGAATATTTCTCATACATTGACAAGTAAAATAATTGTGCTTGTTTAAATACAAGTAGAATTGCACCATACAGCACTCTGCTGCAATACAATGCGATACATTGTGATGCCTGCCAAATTGTCCAATCAAAATTAACTTAATCATTTTTTTCTTAATTGAATTTAAAAACTGATTGAATACACACACTTCTTTTCATTTTATGTTTTGAAAAAAAAAGGTTTCCAAAACAGACTAGAGAGCATTTCTTTTATTCTCATATTCTTAAATATTTGTTTTCTTTGATATGAATCAAAATTAACAATCAATAATTAAGATGAAAGACTTTCACAAAGTTACGTGTTAGTGGGTTTTTTTTAATCGAATGACTAGTTTGAGTATGCGCAAAAGATCCAAAAGAAATGAACACTCCTTTTTGACTGATGAGTGGATTTTTTTTGTTGGCAAGAGAATTTATACTGTTTACCAGAATAAGAATTGAACTGCATTTTATTGCACTGCACAACAATGCAATGTCATTCAATAAAAGGAAGTCCACTTTTGTTTTACATTATGGTATTTAAAATAAGTTGTAAATCAACATATTTTCTAATACATTTTTATTCTTAAAATAGTTTTGAAAAACAGACTGGATGGAATATTTTCATTCATATTTTCTTAATATATGATTGTTCTCTTTCATATGAATCTAAATTAACAATGCAGTGATAATGTCGAAAGATTTTTCGACAAATTTTTTTCATTGCTGTTTATTATTTTATGCAACGCCTAGTTTGGGTATATGAAAGATTGAAAAAGAGAGAAATCTCGTGTTTGACTGATGAGTGTAAATTTTGAGAGTGATGCAGATAAGCACCAGGAAGGATAAACAGAATATATTCTGATAACAGTACTTAGAGCTAAGTTTTCATCAAAGAACAGTTACTTTTGCTGATTTGTTTTTTTTTATTGAAAGACCGATATGGATATATGAGAAAATTCCCGAGAAAAATTGGAGTGTCGAGTGAAGTTCTTGAATTGCAAACTAATTAATTTGGCTTTTACAAAAATATAACTGTCCTACAATACATTGCATGGTAATGCTTGATGTACTGTCTAATTAAAACATACTCGGTCAATATTTATTATTAGGCAAAACAGTGAAAAAAAAAAGAAAAGCTTTCCTGTTTGACTGATGAGTGAATATTTTGAGCCTCAAACAAAGCGCCGATGACTTTGTAGAACAATCAAAGACGCTTTTCAATACTGCTTAGCAGTACTTGTTTAGTGAGATAAGCTCACACTAAGTCCTTTACACGCGACATTACCCGTAACCGTTATTTACTCTGACTTTAACAAATGGTCATGTGTGAATGTCTCTCTAACGTCTTATATATAGTATACAAGCCTGTTGCTCGTTAGCATTGCTTAAACATTTACATAATATGAAGCCGAAATCAATGATCGCTTTGTCTACGTTGTTCAAGGGACATAATTTGAGTTATCGAACTTTGAAACAAAACTTACATTATGCAAATTTCCAAAGAAACATTCAATCACAGGGACAAATTGTATATAAAAGCTGTCTTTGGAGGGTGGATGGTGGGGAATATTTCTCATACATTGACAAGTAAAATAATTGTGCTTGTTTAAATACAAGTAGAATTGCACCATACAGCACTCTGCTGCAATACAATGCGATACATTGTGATGCCTGCCAAATTGTCCAATCAAAATTAACTTAATCATTTTTTTCTTAATTGAATTTAAAAACTGATTGAATACACACACTTCTTTTCATTTTATGCTTTGAAAAAAAAAAAGGTTTCCAAAACAGACTAGAGAGCATTTCTTTTATTCTCATATTCTTAAATATTTGTTTTCTTTGATATGAATCAAAATTAACAATCAGTAAGATGAAAGACTTTCGCAAAGTTGCGTGTTAGTGGGTTTTTTTTTTTTTTATCGAATGACTAGTTTGAGTATGCGCAAAAGATCCAAAAGAAATGAACACTCCTTTTTGACTGATGAGTGGATTTTTTTTGTTGGCAAGAGAATTTATACTGTTAACCATAATAAGAATTTAACTGCATTTTATAGCACTGCACAACAATGCAATGTCATTCAATAAAAGGAAGTCCACTTTTGTTTTACATTATGGTATTTAAAATAAGGCGTAAATTAACATATTTTCTGATACATTTTTATTCTTAAAAAAGTTTTGAAAAACAGACTGGATGGAATATTTTCTTTCACATTTTCTTATATGATTGTTCTCTTTCATATGAATCTAAATTAACAATGCAGTAATAATGTCGAAGGATTTTTCAACAAATTTTTTCATTGCTGTTTATTTTCTTAATTAAATTTAAAAACTGATTGAATGGACATATTTTTTTTTCATTTGATCCTTTGAAAACAAAAGTTTCAAAAACAGACTAGAGAGCATTTCTTTTATTC